GGTCTGAAAATGTTTCCAACAATGGGGGAAAAAAACTTTATAAGGAAGGAATCATTCTTGTAAAGTGCCATCAAGGAAAACCTATGGGTTTCCCTGGCTTATGTCTTTGTGGCAACAGAAAGCCTTTTATTTCTCCAGCAAAGCAGTTAGTGACCTCCAGCTGGCAACCTTGAGGTTCACAGTTCAGTGCTTATTCTACAGAGCCACTTTGCTCTCATAAAGACTCATGTTGTTGTTGAGTGTTGGAGAGTTAGTTCCTACTCATAGTGACCATGTATAGCGTTTCCGAGGAGTAGCTGGTGAATTTGAACTGTTGATGATGTGGCTCGCAGCCCAATGTTGATGCTACACCAGAAGTCCGTAAAGAATCATACTTCAGATCAAATTATGTAGGAAAAATCATATTAACTTATTATTGTGTACAGTATTTAAATTGTTAAACACTGGTAAATAAATGTGAAGAGATGCTTTATTGTTTCAAGTAATTTAAATATATCTTATTTAGAGGTAATGAGACATTCCAGTGATGTTAATAACTAGTACAGTGAATAGAAACTTGCAGCTGTGTGGGTCTTGTGATTGCGGAGTCTTTGGAATCTGTTCTTAACAGTGGTTAAGCTCTCTGCTGTTAACTGAAAGGTTGACAGTTTGAACCCACCAGCCACTCTGCAATATTGTTGTTGCTAAGTGCCATCTCAAAGGAGCTCTGGTAGTGTAGTAGTAACGAATTGGGCTGCCACCCTCAGGGTCAGCAATTCGAAACTACCAGCTGTTCCACGGGAGAAAGATGAGACTTTCTGCTCCCGTAAAGATTTATAGCCTCGGAAACCCTGTCCAGGGTCGCGAGTCGGAACCGACTCCACAGCACATAACAACAACAAAGTGCCATCTCATGAGTCAGTACCTATTCATAGTGACCCTGTATAGGGTTTCTAAGGAGTGGCTGGTGGGTTTGAACTGCTGACCTTGCAGTTAGTAGCTGAGTGCTTATCCTACAGTGCCACACTAGGACTCCCATTACAAGATGCTCCCATTTATTAGTAGTATTTCTCACTGTATTAAAGTGATTTTCTGATAGCTGTTTGAGAATTACTGCTTTAAGGGCTATAATTCCTTGCCCATTTTCCTATTATTAATGGATGTTTGCAGCTATTTTTCCTCATTTTGAGTTGTGCTCCACCAGTAAGTGAAGGTTCTGAAAGCTTTACTGCATTTACATCATTATGGGCAACTCTACTTTGATGAGGAAGCTCTTCATCAGTAGTATTTTGAGTGCCTTCCAATCTGAGGACCTCATCTTCTGACTGTATCTGACAATATTTTGATGCTATTCATCATGTTTGTATATTCAGTATTCTGGTGCTAACATTGTTCCACTGCTATTCAGAAGGTTTTTATTAGCTAAACATTTGGAAATTGCCCACCTCTCGTTCTTCATAGTCTGCCTTAGTTTGGAAGCTCAGCTAAAACCTGTCCTCCATGGGCTACCCTGCTGGAATTCAAAATACCGGTGGTGGCATAGCTTCCAGCATCACAGTGACGCGGAAGCCACTATAGTACAACAAATTGACAGACGAGTTGTGGTACCATAATGTATATTGTTGTTGTTATGTGCCGTGGAGTCGGTTCCGACTCATAGTGACCCTACACAGGGTTTCCGAGGCTGTAAATCTTTACGGGAGCAGAATGCCTCATCTTTCTCCCGCGGAACCGCTGGTAGTTTCAAACTGCTGACCTTGCGGCTCACAGCCCGATTCGCAACCACTACGCTCCTTATAATGTATATCGTCTTTTAAAATATACAATTCAGTAAATTTAAGTATACTCACAAAGTTGTACAACAATCACTACTATCTAATTCCAGAACATTTTCATCACCCAAAAAGAACCCCAATACCCATTATTAGCTACTCCCCATTGTTCTCACCATAACTTAATGACTACTAATCTGCTTTCTGTTACTATGGATTTGCCTCTGGATCATGTAAGATGTGTAGCCTTCTTTAACTTAGCATACTGTTTTCAGGCTTCATCCATGTTTTAGCATGTGTCAGCACTTTGTTTCTTTTTATCGTGCAACAATATTCCATTGCATGTATATGCTATGTATTGCTTATCCATTAACGGTTGATGAACATTTAGATTGTTTCTATTCTTTGTCTATTACGAATAATGGTGCTATGAACTTTCATGTACAAATTTTTATGTGAAACAACTCTTTTCTGAGGGATAATTTAGGGGCAAAAATTCTACCTTATGTTGTAAAAGTGGTTTGGGGCCATTCTGAGCAGGAAAGAGAAGACTTGCCATTAACATCAGCCTAAGGCTGATTCCTTTGAGACCAAGGTCAAAAATGCCTCCGTCCTCAACCTTTTTTTTTCTTACCAATATTGACACCAACTGCCCTTCTCACTGCTGTCTACTTCTCTGCTAGATTTGATCATGGCACTGGCCACACAGAACTTTCAGATGACAGAGTTTAGAGTTTATTGGGGAATTAGGTTACAATTCAGGATAACAGCCTCTTCTGAGCCATTTCCTTAGGCAGCCCTCTGGTCTTCGGCCTCTCTTGCCATTGTGGCTCTCTTTGGGCCCTTTTTGGGCAAGTGTTATAAAAGTCTTTTAGTTCTACAGATTTTGTGCCCAGAAGCAACCCACTCTTCCAGCAAGCCTCCTACCTAAAGGCACTCAACTTTGTTTCTTGAATTTGTGGGCCAGGAAGTCCACAGCTGTGCCTTGCACTAGTCTCCTGGCTCTGCTGCCTCTCTGCCACCACTTACATGCTGCTGATTCTTGACAACTCTTGGTCCTAGTTCTCTCTTGGATTGCACAGAGATTTCAGGCCCAGAGGATCTTCACTCCTGGCTCTCTTTCTTGATGATAGTGAGATATCCCCATTTCTGCCTCTGGGATGGCTCATTTTAAGTTTAGCGGGATGGCAAAACTAACTAGTTCATTTATTCACTAGTCCCATGTTAGGAGGGACTAGTCCCTGGAAGAGGACATTGTGCTTGGTAAATTAGAGGGTCAATGAAAAAGGAAGACCTTTAAAGAGATGGATTGACAGACCCAGTGGATGATGCAACAGTGGGCTCAAACATAGGAACAATAGTGAGACTGGGTGATGTTTCTGTTGTGCGTAGAGTCCTTATGAGTTGGAGCCGTTCAGTAGTACCTAACAACAAGCCCCCAAGGGTGCTTGTGCCATATTTACGGTACCAGCAATCAATCTAATCCTGTTGGACCATAGTACATCACAATAGCATAGTCCTTCCCAGTTATTTAAGTTTTTAATTATATGCAATATAAAAGTAACTTTAATTTGGAATGATGAAGGTAAGTTTAAATGAATTGAGGTAGAATCTAAGTCTATTTAGAAACATAAGCATAATTTTGCTCCTTCCTTAAATATGTTTCTATCTAAACATATAGTTATTAGATTTGGGAAATCTCTTGAAATTTTACATGTAAAAATTCCATATTCATTGGAAACAAATCAATTATAAAACTGTTCAGTAGAGGGGGCAGAAAAACTAATCAATTTTCTAGTATAGATTGTTTTTACTTCACTTCTTTCTTAGGAAATAAATAATGTTGGTAATTGTCTCCCAAACACCCTTACTACCTATTCTGATGGATAAAGAAATTGATTTTGTGTTCTTCTGTAACTGTAGAGATGATATATAAAGGTAAGTCACAAAGTATTGCTACAAAATAATAGAAACCTTTATTAAGCAAAAATGTCAAAATGTGAAGCTAGTGTTTCTGAACTTACCCTCCATCCAGATCTATATATTTCTGAAGGCATTGTTTCCATAACTGTAACCCCCCTTGAGGAATTCTGCACTTTTTGATTTTCACCATGACAAAACGGCACTTTTGGTACCTTGAGGGACTCAAATTGCATTTCTTTTAAGTGTTCTCTGAGTTTACAGCCATCCACTGATCGCAGATACATATTTGGGATAAACCCTTGCGTATATATGAACTGGAATCCTAGTAGCAACACTTTTTGACTTACCCTTACATTAGAAGTATATTGTGTAAGCAGCTGTATTTTTTTGTTGATAATATACACAAGAAAACCAATTCAAGTTTCTGCATGTACAATTCAGTGACATTGAGTACATTCTTCAAGTTGTACAGTTATTATTCTTACCTTCTTTTTCTGAGTTATTCCTCCCTCATGAACTCTGACCCCTTAAGGTTTCTACCTGATCTTTCACTGTTGTTAATTTGATTCCATATAGGTAGATTCCATATAAGGCGTTTTGGTAGCATAGTGGTTACAAATTGGGCTGCTAACCTCAAGGTCAGCAGTTCAAAACTGCCAGCTGTTCCGCAGGAAAAAGATGAGGCTTTCTGCTCCCATAAAGATTTACAGCCTCAGAAAGCCTGTGCAGGGTCACTGTGAGTCAGAACCGACTCCATGGTACTTAACAACAACAACAGCAAATAGGTAGATCTTAAAGAGTCCACTGCTCAAAGCATACATTCTTTTTGAACTTTTTATTGTGAATTGAATGAAGGTTTACAACTCATCACTTTCATATGCATGAGTGCAGAGTAGGATTTTCAAGTCTGTGACCTTTCAGAACCAGATTGCGTTGAGTGCTGGCTCCGGGTTGGATTTGAACTGCTAACCTTTTGACTAGTAGTCAAACACTTAACCATTTGCACCACCCAGGAACTCTTAATGATATGCAGACTTGGGGAAAAAAATTTTGTATCTTTAGTTTCTAGGAAAACTTATTTTCGAAAAAGGGTTTTTCTTTAGAGTATTGAAAGTAGGAATAATACAAGTTTTATTTTTCTCAACTTTTATTAAAATAACTAAAAGAATAATGAAGTAGAATTTGAGAGTGGGTGTTCTAATAATAGCTGCCTCACTAAATAACTGAGTTTGTCATTATAATATATCTTTTCCCCAGAATATGTTGGGAAAACATATGAAAAAATAATGTATTAGTACTTACATGTACTTATTATGTTCATGGCAGGTGCTGTTGGCAGCAGCCGTCTGCACGAAAGCAGGAAAGGCTATTGTTTCGCGGCAGTTTGTAGAGATGACTCGAACTCGGATTGAAGGTTTGTTAGCAGCTTTTCCAAAGCTCATGAACACTGGAAAACAGCATACATTTGTTGAAACAGAGAGTGTAAGATATGTCTACCAGCCTATGGAGAAACTGTACATGGTTCTCATCACTACCAAAAACAGCAACATACTAGAAGATCTGGAGACACTAAGGCTCTTCTCAAGAGTGGTAAGAGGCTTTCTGTAACATGGTCTTCTGTTTTTGTTTTTAATTTTTTGTCTGAAACTCCTCTCGCCACTATTAGCTGACGTTTATCAGTTTGCATGTTTACTCCTATCCCCAGCAGCTTATTACTGCAGCTATTCCATTCATCTAGCAAGCAGCTATTGGGTGTCCTCCTAGGCTATTAGGAAGTGACGTCGAGTCAGTTATGACTCATATGGTGACCCAGCATAGGGTTTCCAAGGAGCAGTTAGTGAGCTTAAACCTTGTGGTTCAAACTGACCTTGTCCTGCGCTTATCCTGCAGCGCCACACCAGAACTCCTCCTAGGCTGTCTTCTAGTTAAGTGCTGTCGAATCAGTTCCGACTCAGAGCAACCCTGTATAGGGTTTCCGAGGGCCAACTGGTGGGTCTGAACTGCCAAACTTGTTCAAATTAGCATTGTGGTCTAGTGCAGCGCCACTCCAGGACTCAAGTATCCCTAAAGAGATTATGGAAACTGTCCTTTCATTTTCCACTTCTCAAGCAGTTACTTTCATCAGACGTCATTCCTCTGATTTCTGTTTCATAGTATTTTTAGATCAAAGGGTCTAGGGCTTACTGATAAGAGACTGACAAACATGACTATATGTCAATAAGAATTAACTTGCTTAAAATAAAAAAGAATTAAGAAGGGGATTCAGGTTTAGTGAATTTGTGATATTTTAATAGCTAACTCTTGGAAACTTCACTACTGATAAATTCTGAAACTTTCTTTTCTGTTTCTGTCTGTGATTAGATTCCTGAATATTGCCGAGCCTTAGAGGAGAATGAAATATCTGAGCACTGCTTTGATTTGATTTTTGCTTTTGATGAAATTGTCGCCCTGGGATACCGGGAGAATGTTAACCTGGCACAGATCAGAACCTTCACAGAAATGGATTCTCATGAGGAGAAGGTGTTCAGAGCAGTCAGAGAGGTAAATAGGGTTTTCTTGGGGACTGCCAGTTTATGTGTCTTTCTAGTAGGCTTTACTTATCTGAATTTCCTGTTTTCACTTGCTAATAGAGACTAAAAGCTGTGTGCATGCATGTCTCTTTCTGTAGACTCAGGAACGTGAAGCCAAGGCTGAGATGAGGCGTAAAGCAAAGGAATTACAACAGGCCCGAAGAGATGCTGAAAGACAGGGCAAAAAAGCACCAGGGTTTGGGGGGTTTGGAAGTTCTGCAGTATCTGGAGGCAGTACAGCTGCCATGATCACAGAGACCATCATTGAAAATGAGAAGCCAAAAGTGGCTCCTGCACCAGCCAGGTATTAAACCACAGAACTATGAGCCACCCTGGAATATCAGATGAAGGCGTGTGTGTGTCTGTGTCTGTGTCTGTGTGTGTGTTTGGAGTAATACCTGATTTCTAGATAAGCAGTAAATAATGAGTGATTTGATGAAATGAAACATGAAATTAATTTGGCTACATAATATGGAGATAAGGAGTAATCTGAATGTCATTGCTTTTCCCTTTTTTCTCTTTGAGTAAAAGAGGTGGTTGTTTTTATTTTTTAAATTATGCCAAGACCTCTTAATTTCATGTGAGAATTAGCTTATTTGGGGAGGGAAGGGATATTTATTTTGTTTCTGAAACATGAACTTTAGTGTTGTTAATTGTAAATGGATTTCAGGGGGAAGTCTGTGAACTACTTGAAATTCTATGCATAATTTGTTTGTGCATAGGTACATTTATCTGGATGGAAGGTACAACATTTTCATCAGATTGTATATTTATAAAAGTATACCCTTGGTCTTTGGGTGCTCAAACCTTAGCTGTTAATCATGACTGTAAGCTTTTAATTTGATCAGCTTTATTTTATTTTATTTGGTCATTAACTGCTTAGTTGAGATTTTTCCTTGAGGTCTTCACATTCTTCTAAATGAATAGCTTTAGGTAGCACTTTATAGATGTTGTTGTTCTTATGTGCCATGGAGTCATTTCCAACTCATAGCGACCCTGTACAGGGTTTCTGAGGCTATAAATCTTTACGGGAGCAGAAAGCCTCATCTTTCTCCCACAGAACAGCTGGTAAGTTTCGAACTGCTGCCCGTGAGATTAGCAGCCCAATTCATAACCGCTACGCTACTAGAGCTTCTTACTTAATAGATCTTGTTGTTGTTGTTAGGTGCCTTCGAGTCGGTTCTGACCCATAGCAACCCTGTACAGGGAGATAGGGGGCCATTAATCAGTGTTTGCTTTTATTTTCTTAATCATGTATGGGTATATTTTCTTATTTTGTATTCTATTTAGGCCTTCAGGCCCCAGCAAGGCTTTGAAACTTGGAGCCAAAGGAAAAGAAGTCGATAACTTTGTGGACAAATTGAAATCTGAAGGTGAAACTATCATGTCCTCCAATATGGGCAGGCGTACCTCTGAAGCCACCAAAGTGCATGCTCCACCTATTAATATGGAAAGGTAAATAGTAATTTTCTCAGTAAGAACAGACCACGTGATTAAAAAAAAAATCTAATTTTAGTATGCTATAAGTTCCTTTTTGTATCAATTTTCCATTCTTTAAAAGACTTAGAGTATATTTTAGGTACTGATATGAAGTGGTTGTGTGTTTTTTTTACCTCTTAAACATAATTGGAGGTCTTTCCGTAATCTCTCTTTTATGAAATTTAGAACTTGCCTTTTATTAACACTTTGCTCAGTAAATTAATAAAAAATAATTTATCTTCATGCTTAGCCTGTACTTTTTCTCTTAAAATGGACTTGAATGAACTAGAGCTATAATATCCTTACACAGATGTCTTTTTCTTTTTTTAAATGTTTTATTGTGAATTATGAGATAGTTTACATGGGAAAACATTAGTTTTACATTCATTCTATCATATATCATCTCATTGCCATGGTTACAATCCCCTCCATGCATCATAAACCAACCAAAGGGTATACCCTGCAAGCCTGCCCCCCACACACCCCCGG